TATTTTGAACGTGACCTAAGTACATATATTAATTTTTTTATTATTGAGTGTAGTAACGTTTATAATATGATAGTTTTTAACACATATATTTTCATAATTAGTTTAAATTTCTGAAGATTTATTTAGTACTAATTTATATTAACGAAAAGGTAATAACTTTATTCTGATTGAAATAAAAAAGAGAATTTCATATCAAACAGGTTTTTGGAGGACGCAGTTTATGAAAGGTTAAAAAATTCTAACGGAGAAACAATAAATTGATTTTATTGATACCACTTTATACAAATATAAGACGAATTTAAACATAGAAATACAAGAACATGATGGACTTTTACTACGATATATACTACCGGAGCATCATGACTTTTTCAAATCCATCCTACAAATTGCATAAATTATGTACCATCTATTCAAATTGAAGCATTTTAAACTATATGGAATGGATTTGAGCTCTTTCATTTCATTCATGTTGTATTTGGATTTTCAATTTGTAAAAAGTCATAAAAGATGTATGATAAAATCCAATGAATGCTAATTACAAATCTAATACAAAGCTACATTTTGTTGTACAGTGTAATTAGGAATTATCAAAAAGACAAAGCAAACACGGGTTCCGCCGAAAAGCGGTTTTAATGAAGTGTGTAAGTGATCTCATGCAAATCGCTCCCCGCATATAAATAATGACACATTGAGAAGAGGGTCTGGTGAGGCCGGCTTTCAAGCACTACATTTAATGTACCCGGCGCATTCACCCATCCGATACGCATTGTCATTTATACTACCAAACGCACATACATTAAGACCCATCGTATGATGAATCGCAGTCGGAGAGGAGAGAGAAAATGTTGTTAATACCGCCGTTCTTCTCTTCATCCCCAACTCCAACCGCGAATGCAAATGATGTGTGTATATGTGGATATGTATGTGCTCACAAGTGAATTCTTGAATGTCGACTATTAATTTGTACGTCATCATTTATCACTTTCAAAAGCCGCGGAATGGTGTGGAACAGAATATACATCAAACACAAAAGAGAATAATAATAAGAAGAATAAGCGAAAAAAAATGCTCTACAGGCATTTGTGTATCACATAAACATTACCGTTGGGAAATTAGTATGGAAACGTGGCAATTCGTTTTGCATGCATTCACTTCCTGTCCAATCGTACAATATATTTGATTATAACTTCTTTTCATGCTCGGAGTTCCGTAAAGAAGTTATTTTCTCCGGTTTATCTCTGATGTTTTCAACAGATGTTTGTAATGGAAAAGGAAGATTTAACGGCTTTTGTGTAAGATGCAAAGTAATGTAAATATTTTTGATATACATTTACTTGATAACATCTCAATAATTTATATATTTCAAAATAATAGAAGTAGATTTATATGGTTAATAGCACCTGAATTATGTTTATTTATGTTAATTTGTTAAATTATAGGAAATTAATGTAAAATATATTAGTGTCCGTTGCCTGTGCAACAAAGGGGTGAAATATTCAGGACTTAGTTTTGATCTGAAAAGCTTCTGCAGGGTGTAAGTAATAAGTGGAAATTTCGAGTATTATGTGGTAAGTGGATATGGATTGTAGGGTTCTGGTTTTTGGACAGAGAGGTGGGCTAGAGATGGCAATGAGGGAGGCAGCAACAGGCACAGACATTAAATATTCATGCGCTCAGCCGGCGCACAATAATTACATTCTGATGACTACTCGAGCTAACGCTAATACACGTACAAACTAATAACAATTCTAATATTAACAATAAAGCGACCATTTCGAATGAGAAATGCGGTATTAAGAGGGAAATAACTAATAACTTTAAGAAGAATACCACGCGCCATCCCCTGAGGACTTTTTATTGGCCTCAATTCTTCCAAAATAAAATTCGCAAAAAAGCATCGTTCTATCCTTTTATTTTCATCACTATTTCTCTCGGCATTGCTAGTATCTCGCTCTCTCTCATCAGGCAGAAAAGATAAAAATATAACAAATGTAATTAAACGCAGCCTGCTGCTCCTTTTATTTGTTCGTCACCCCCTCAAGCCCTTAAACTGGGACACCCTGAATATGTTGTTTGTGTATGAGTGTGTTGTTGTTATTGGTTGGTCCACGTTTCGCTCGTTTTGAGAATGCTTTCATATGTCGGCGAAATGTTTCGTAGCGCGCGTAATTTCATATTGTTCTGGGATAATTCTATTCCCAAATGCAATCGTCGTTGATGAGATTTTTAATAATACAAATTGTTCTGTTTACGGCCCTGAACTACATTAATCCTCCTCGAAATGATGTTAAACAACGACCAACTTAGTTCATTCGCGCTGCATTATTTGTTAAGAATTTAATTACACTCATTAACTTCTTTACACAATTAATTAAAATATTTACTTGTTTTTCATATATGGTAACTCTCACAACTAATTAATTGCGTTATAGGAAGGTTGACTATATTATAATTGCATTTAGATCGAAATAGCTTTCAAACTTTTAGTTGATATCAACAAATGTTCCAAATTATAGATATATTCTGATGTAATCAATAACAAAATCTTTATTTTATAACAATTATTTTTTTTTTCTTCTAAAATTATCATAAAAAATAGTATTTTTTACTATTTTATTTACTGTGAAAATAAATCGTAGTAGCAGTAGTTTTATATTATATCTACTTGATCAGCCTTTCAGACACTCGTTTTACTTATATAATAAACCAAACTTTCAGTTCGAAATCGGACGTTTCATGCATAATACATATAATAAATAATCTCTTGCATTGTATAAAATATCGAAAATGAAAGTGTACAGCAAACATATACATTAAATAATTAATTATAAATGAATTATATGTATTAATTAATTGATTTAAATTACTAATAAAGCATTCATTTAAACCCAGATTACAATTTGATCCATTCAATATATATATATTTATGATTTTAATTTAAAGCATTATAAATAATTTACGTTACGAAATTAATTATTATTGTCAGAAAATGTAACATTTGCAAAATAATATATAATACAGACATTAATATTAGCATACACTTTTCAATTTATTTCATTTAAGTAAAATTCAATTTCCCGACGAGGGAAACGAAAATATTAAATTTAATGTTGGGAACTTTCTCTCCATTATTTTCATCTTATATTTATCTATCGCTCTGCTCGCTCTTCCATTCTTACGACGCGTCCCTTTCTACCAAGATGCGATGTTGTTTAAACAAAATTCAATTTTGTTTTGTATTTCTCTTGCTCCATCTTCGACGTTAGGATCTTAAGGGCAACCCGACAGATCCTAAATTGTAAAGGGTCAATGTTGTCGTCCGCGCCTCGGGGCCTGCCGAATGGTGTAGTTGTATTGAGGGAGGATAAGACGAAGAACAAAAAAAAGGTTTAACCGACCATAAAATCCAAGACTTCGAAGACAAAAGGGATTATATAATTTAATTAGCGAAAACAGGTTTAAAAAAAAATATATGTACGAGGGTTAACTAGGAAAACTGCCAGTATGTAAGCATCAAACTGTGTTTCTACTAATTGATTATATTACCCGTAATATCCGGTTAATTTGACCTTTTCACTTTTTTAAATCTAAAACTTTATAATTGCGCTTTCTATGGTTACTATATTTTCGCATAACATAAATTTCAATCAGCTGGTAAACATGCAATAGCATAGACGCGATAGTTGTTAAAATATAATATTTCGTTCCAGCCCGGTTAATTACTTACGGTCAAGTAATTACTTGTTAAAAAGGATAGAAAAGCATTGTATTGTTACATAATTTGCCTGTTTATTTACAATGTTCAATGTATATTTGCAGGGAATGTATTTAAAATTGAGCTTTCCTAATTTTTATCTCATATGTTTATGTAGATTTGTCAATAATTAATATGATTTTTTTTATTTTTCATATTTTAGTAGTAGTATACCATAAATATATAAAGATAAAGTTTTAAATATAATTACTTGTTACAACATTGAGAATACATTATTTATGTAGCCGGTCAATTTCACTTGATTGTAGTGTGAGTGTACCTAAATCTGCATAATAGCAGTTACGAGTTAAAATACTTGCAAAACTCAAAAATACAAAAGTAGAAGGAATACGATTTATACCACGATAATAAAAATATGTATAATTTATGTTAGAAGTATCTCATACACACAAGTTAATAACTACAACTAAAAGAAAAACATATTTTTCCAGCGATTCAAAATAAATATATGCTAATTCTAATAGCATAAGTAAAAGTTTCTGTTTCTTTAAAAAAATGAAACACACAAAAACAATAAAAACTAAACACATGTTATATTTTTTTTAAATTTAATTTATTTAATGATTTTAAATTACTCTAATTCATAATTTTTGAGATTTCCTTTTCTATAAACAAAATAAATATTCAATACAAATTGATTGAAATAAAACATATATTTCACGGAATGTTATCTAATATTAACGTACAATTTACTATCACTTCAAACGTAATTGAGTAATGACAACTATTTCAAAGAAAGTGTTTATATTGCGCTTGTTTTTTTTTGAGTTTCTGACGTAAATATTTGCTTCTTTCTCTGATTTATTTTAAAACACCGAACGGATCGTGTATATAAATGTTTTGAGACATTCGACGCAGCAGCACAAATTATGTAACCTAATGTACATTTATACTCATGGTTAATGTAATTTTCTGCTTATTGACAAATTTAATTAGATTAAATATACAAAATTTATAATCCTTTCAAGTTTAATACATCTATTAATATATTCAAATATTGTTTAAAAAGAGTAAAGAAATATTGAAGGTCAAAAAAAATGTAATTTTATGTAATAGAAATTAGGGAATGAAATAACATTATAAACAATTAACACATTTTTACCTGATTCTTCAAATTTATTTGCATTGTTGATAATTTTGATGACTAATGTGAAGTTATGATAATTATTACATAATTATTTAAAATTTGCGTTTCGGTGAATGAATTGTTTGTAAAATAACTTACCTGACAAATGGAAGAGTTTGTTGTGTGTTTCAATTGAAATATGTGTGTATAAAACACGTCACGCGTTTAAGTCAGAGAAAATTATTTCATGAAGTTTGGTTTCGGTCGGTGCAAATGTTGCGGTCACGTTTTCCGGTTCGTAGAGAGCGTCGCGACGCCGGTGTACTCGACGTATCTGCTTATAGAGAAAAAGAGAGAGAGTTCCGTTGATGCGGAGCGTCGGTCCAGGACTGCCTGGGAATTTGAGGCGCCGCGAATCTCTCTCTGCGCTCCGGCGGCGGCGCGCAAATTTCTACCGGCACACACATTCACACCGGCGGCGGTGCTGATGGGGGCGGTCGGTCGGTCGACGTCCCCATCGCCCCCAGCTCTTTGCCTCTTCCGAAACTCTGAAAACCCCTACGACTCTATGGCATCCATCCATCCATTCGTTTATTCCTCTGCTTGGACGGAGTATCGTATCCAGGAATTAGTCAATAGTTAGCACCGACCGATGATAATTACATTAAACTCAAAATCAAAACACAAAAGTTTTTTTACAAACATAATTTATTTACTTTTTACGGTTACTATACCAGTGATTTAAACACGTATAATTGTAGTTCAAATACATCCTACATAAGGTATATCGTACATAAAATAAATATCACAGAGAATGCGACGAATGCAATTGTCTTCAGTAATATGAATAAATATATTATATTTATATGAACGTATATTCTATTTTTGATTAATAACAATATTGTATGCTAGAAAGCAAAAATAAATTAAGTTATTCAATAATTCCTCGCAAATATTGTTATATAATCAACACCAAAACATTTCCTGGAAAATTTCGGGATTAAATTGTTAAAGCACTAAAATCTTCATTTAAATCATGATCAATATTACATAATTTCACTGGAATTAGATCGTAATTAGTAGTGATGAAAAATGGATCGTCTATAACAGCGGTTTCCAAACATTTTCGGTTTGTGAAATTTATTTTAATAGTAGTTTTTCTTCAATTTTCACAAGCACCCCTGCAGCACAGCCTCGGCGCACAGTTTGGAAACCCCTCGTCTGCAATAACATCAATCGAAAACGATCAAGATCCAAGCGTGATGAACCAGCACAAAACAAATCGAAAGCTAAATTGCATCAAAAAAGATCATTCTATCAATTTGTTGGTATTACAGAGATTTTGTATATTTTGATCTGCATCTCATGAAACCAAACGATCAATTAATATGTTTACTATCAACAACTAATGAAACTGGAGGAAGCATTTAAAGAAAAATTGCCAGAATTGGCAAATCGTGTCTCACAAATACAATGCAAATCCGTGCACATCTTTGCTTACTTATTGAAAATTATTGGAGCTTAATTGGAAAGTGTTGTCGCATAACTCATATAGCAGTTTTTCATAATTAGTTTACCATTTACTTCAAAGTTTGCAAAACTAATAGATAACCTGACATCTCACTTGGTTTAGTGTTTTGCTGATAATGACCAGAAGTTCTATGAGCGCGAAATCATGAAGTTGTCAGAAAGATGGCAAAAGGTCATCAAACAAAATGGAAAATATATAAATGATTTAAGTTCAAACTTTGTATATAAAAATGATTTGTATTTCACACTAAAAACCAAAATTACTTTCTTGCTGACCCAATTGATTATTTTATTATACAATATAATACAATAGATAATAAATGTTTAACAAATTATTATTTTATTTTGTACGTAATAAATCCTAGATACGACACTGCTATATATCTATTCTATTTAGTAAATGTTCCATTCCTTTTTCGTTTAGTTTTCCTCTCTTTGTAAAGAAATTTCCCCGTTTCCTTTTCGTTTTTAGCTCTCTCTCTCTCCGCAAACACATATCCGGCTATATTCAATTGTTATTTTTTATGCTTACCATTTGTAACCAGTTGAAGAAAAAGCGTCGACAGTCTAAAGATTAATGATTCACCATCGAAATAGAAAAATGATTATCGATCAAATCATATTAGGTAATTTGTACAATTTTCAATTTAGTTTACTGTTTAGATTTTAACACTGCTGTTCGGAATTTTTTTTCGGAGATATGCGACGATCGTCCATCACTCATCCCACTTCTAGTGTCACTTATCTGTCAAGTAATTGACAAATTCATATTTGTCTAATTTTCAACGCTAATTTGTATAACATCTTTTATTCGCATCTAGTCGCATGATTGTCATTTAAAATTATTTACAAATTCATAACCATTATTTATATTCATTTATACCACTTTTATTAAAACATTCAAATAGTTGGAATAAACAGCTTTTTTTAATAAACAATAGAAACATATCTTATAAAATTGTTTAATGTATTTACAAACTGCTAATATTTTAATACTTGGTTTAACTTTGCTAGAAATAATTTTTATTACGTTTATCTTAATAAATATTAAATTAATAATGTTAATTAATATAATAATTAATGCTTTATTAACTTAATGTCAATAATATTTATTTATAATTCTCCAAAATGTGAATAATTAGGGTAATTTTTAATAGAAAAAAAAATGTAAATAGAAAACACTATTTAACATTATTGTATTCTATTTGATAATGACAATCCTTTTTCATTGAAATAGCTATTTGAAGGTTTGCAAATCCCTATTCCTATTTTATACTATTGATTATAAATGTATACAAGTGAAATGTATGAAGGATGTGGGAAGGTCAATCTTATAGTTAAGGTATTCTTATACTTACTTGTTTATATAAATGTCCTTGAACTCTTTAATCTTTATTGGTATTTATTTCTAGCTTAGTTTATTTATGTTTGCATATATGAAACGCGCAAATGTTATCTCTTATTCCGAGGAGGGAATTCCTGTTGCACCAAGTGAGTTGTAATTCCCCGCGACCCAAAACGAATTCACGCAGCATCAACTCGGAGCATAATATAAAAGCCGCTCTGCTCCGAACTCATCAGTCAAACCGAATCCAACCAGTCATCAGTACAAACGTAAGTTTATATTCATTTGAAACTCTCTGATCATCAAGTAATGTGTCTTCCTCGTTCGTTACAGATGTTGAAGCTGTCCATCTTCTTGTTCGCATTGGCGACACTCAGCCACGCTTACGTGACTGACTACTATCCGGAATCCTTCTACTCACGAAACGGTGGTGAACAGGTGATCTTCAGGCATCGCAGATCCTTTGCACCTGGTGCACCTTCGTTCCCGTTCCCCAAGACTCCAACCCACACGGAAGTCAATCCGCATATAAAGCACGGAGCCGACGGTACAACCAATGCAGGTGCATCCATCCATCACGTAACCAAGGATTACGAGGTCCATGGGAAATGGAGCAAAAACGTCGATGGTCCTGGAAAATCTAAAGCAGCTTGGGGCGTCAGCGGCATCTACCGTTTGTAAATGCACTATCTCGTCATCTTCCAAGGCTGTATTGTTTAAAAATGCATTAAATTATGTAAAATAAATCGAGCGAGTTAATCAGTTCATTGCATATTGTATACATTAATTAAAGGACCTCCTCTGTTCGGGGCGAAAGCAGTTATAAATTTTGGATTTGTCCCGAGAGCCTCCTGCACGCCCCGAGAGCGATCCTATTAATTATATAGGAAAATTTAGCTCTCGAGAAATTCCCAACTACTATAAGTCCCCTCTAAACAATATACTTAAAAAATAAAGACATATACCACTAGCAAACCGGAAGTTAAACGACAACTTAGAAACTTTTTCAATTTCTTAATTGTTAATTGAATTATCTTCATGTTAAATTTAATAATAATTTACATAATTTATTGTTAATAAATCTTTTATTCTAACTGATATTTTAAATTAGATTCATTAGTTCTTCAGTACACTCTTTCAGTACAAAAACGAAACAATTCTATGTTAGAGAACATTTCTAGTATTTGACAGTATATAAATATTTCATAGCATACTAAGTAATTATCAAACATAGTGTTCTATACCTATACTATTTATAATTCAAAAGCAGCATTATCATTATTTACTGATTATATTTGAACTTTAATTATTATTTGTTCCAATGATTCTTATCATTTTTGCGGTACGATGAGAGCTAAGGCCATATAAAGATCCAGAAAGCTAAAACCATTAAAAATGTAATTCAAACTATAGGTGGAGAAACGCTGATCTATACTATTCAATTAGAAACTTTGTAAAGTACCGAAACTGATTTAACGAACGCCTTTGTATCCACGTATACTACAAACCTAGACATCGTCAAACAACATAAATAATTAATCTCCTATAATTCTGTTATATAGTTAGATACAATAGTAATCATATTTCGTAACAATATACAAACACCAGAATATTCGCAATGACTAAATAAATAATAAAAATAAAATCACTTTGCATGATTCTATTACAACACATATGATTCTTTGTGATAGCTAATCTATAATTATACACTCAAAAACGAAAAAATGAAAAATGAAAAGTGGATTAACTTTCAAAATAAACTACATTGTAAATTTCTTCACAAAAACAATTTCATTTTACGTGAACCATCCGTGTTTCCTAACAGGAAGATGTAAAGAAATTATTTGCAATTCGCCAGAAGTTTTCGATTAAAATTTCTATCCAGACATAAACTAAACAAAATTAATATACCGATTTTGCTTTACTGAGTTGTCAAAATGAAGAATTTCGTCGTCAGTGCAAGAGATGAAATTGTTGAAGTTGTGAGTGTGAACAGGTGTTGCAGAGAATCGCAATTAAGTTAAATACGTGTTGTTGAAGAAATCCCGGAATTTATATAGAACTATGCGTTTTCCGCGCGATCTTGAGATGAATCCATTCGTTGGAATAGCTGTCTACATGTGATAGACATAAAACAAAAGTAAAAGAATGGGTTTGATTTGAAACCGTAATCCTCGTTGATGTTTTGAAAAAGTCAGTGCTCTTTTGACATGTATAAATTTTCATTTGGAAGAGCGGCTTTTTCCTTTTCGTTTGCCGTCGAAATGGGCTGCAGGTGCCGGTCACCCAAACCCCGTGTCATTCCTAAACCGGAGATTTGTTGTGTAATCCCTCAACGTTTATAACGGCTGCATGAAAAATGTGGAAAGGCTGAGTTCATGTGTTCAAAATCCTGTGTAAGAAAGAGATGGTAAAGTGAAGCGCTCAGCACCACCGCACATTCACACACAAACACACATACTAGCACCACCCTCGGAGCAAATTAATTATACACCCTTGTATGTATACCTACATACGTACGAGTGTGACACAACTGCTACAATGCCATAAGATTTTATGCTCTACAGAACGGTTCATGTAAATTTTGCGAGCAGGCAAAGAACGGGGAAAGCCTACTAAAATGATAATAAATTACTGGAACTCAAATTACTCCTGAAAATCTCACGTTGAAAAATGTTATAATGAGTATAAACTCACTCCAAGACGCCATCAAATTTGAGAGATGACACGTGGCTCATGAAAAATTGAACCAATTCCTCGCACACCGTCAGATTATAATATTGCATCATCAATGTTCAGATCTATATGCGCTTTAGTTTTTCATTCGTACCAGCAACAATTTGTTGACAATAATAAATATTCTGTTATAACATATAATGAAAATATGATAACCAAATTTTATTATTAGAAATATATTAATTGAATAAATTTTCTTTAATATTAATAATACCTGAGGATTTTAGGTATTATTAATATTTTTTAGATAAAGTATTATATATTTTACTCGAAAATCATAGTCTATCGATACAAAAAAAAATGTGTTCGACAAAGATTAAGAAAATCTGAAGAAACTGTGTGAATTATTTTTTTTCACGTGTAAATTCCATTCCAATAGGAAAAAGTAATGTGCACTAAAAATATTGGTGTTTTTTTATTGGATTTTAAGCTTATATTTAAAAGAAATACGTTCCTTTACTACAAATGAAAAATAAACAGATTCGTGTATAAATGTATTAATAAAAATATAGTTCATTGGCACTAAAGACAAAATTCATAAAATATTAAATTTATGAACGAATTATGGCATTAAAATGTTACAGTAATTTATTTACGAGTTTGGTGTTTAGGTTTAGGTCTATTGAAACTGCGAGATACGCTCTATCGTGCGTATATTTAGTTCGTAATAACCGTTCGATTTTAATCAAACTTTTGAAAATTAATTTGCAACTCGATCTACAATATTCTATTATTTATGTACCTTTGTTCTGTCCACACACAATTTAACTATATACTAAACGATGAACTGAGAAGCGTTAATTCAATAATCGGTAAATACGTCAATTACGAAATCCATACAAGATGGAGTAACTAAATTACCAAATAAAATGTTTGTATAAAATGTAATTATTGATCAAAGTATGGTATGGCTTGCTTGTCATATAAATCTGTTTGGATCTTAATTGTGTCTCCCAATTAAAAATTTAAAAAAAAAACTTTTATTTTTAACATTTTTAAAGAAGAAAAAATATATTTATGACTTTCGACTATTTTTTAATTAGTGTAAAGGATAGATTTGGCTCCTTCTTGCCAAAAGTTTGCCCACCCTTGTTTGGGCCATTTTAAATTGATCATTAAATCAATAAATGAAATTCGTACTAATTCATAAATGTATTCATTAAACAATTGCTGTTATATTTCTATATCGGCGGATAAAAGATAAAAATTGAATCTGAATCTAAAATTTTGGATTGAGGAAAATTTTGATTATTAAATTATGCCTTAAATAAATGATTCCAAAAGAAAAATGCCTTTCATTTTTTTCCTTCTTTTCTTAAATTCATATACCTTCTCCAAGCAATAGCAGTAGAACTCCCAACAGATTTTGTAAACAAATAGCCTGTAATTTGATGTAGTTGTATATGTAAAAAGTCTGAAGAAACATATTTTGTTCCATTAAATTTTACTATTAAATATTGTATCTTAGGTTAATTGTGCATTGATATCCATGTCATTATTTTATGTAATAGGTTTAATTATTTAAAATAATTTTATATAGTAAAAAAAATCTGGATCAAATAATAAATATAATAAAATAAGAATAATTATAATTTGACAGCATTATGTATATAATGTTTCACATTTACATTTTATATTTATCTAAATGATTCCATATAAAGACGCAGTATATGGGATCAATAGAATGTAATAATATGATTGAAAATTGAAACAAACAAATACAGGAATCGACGGAATTTTATTGCCGCTCGTCTCGGTATTAAAGACGCCACAATTTATGTGCGTTCCGCATTTTGCTTTTAAAAGTTACCATGGTATGGAAAGAGAGGAACATCAGATATTGGAAATATTTACGTTATAAATGTTTTAGGTCGGCTTCATTGCATATAGATGTATGCGATTTTGTCTCTCACATCGTTGCACACGCAAATTTCGATGTCTTCTTTGGTGCCCAGAATATTTTGCATTAGCAATAGGCTACGTCCTAGCCGCTAGGAAGAGATCTGAGGATGCTGGCTGCACCGACGCATATAGCCGTAAACCTCCATTAGCCCGCTGCTTCATTTCCTTTTTATGGCTACGTTTATATACTCCGCATATCATTTCATACTTATAAGAGAAACCATTTACATTGTTCTACAACTTAAATATATATCAAAATACATAGACACATAGTTTTACCATTTCTTTTGACTTAACATAAAGATGAATTCAAGATATAAATGTGGCTTGAGACAAACATATCTATAATATCACTGAAAGTACTTTAGAATTGAAGAAGCCCAAAACAGATTATGTTGTTACGTCTACTACAACTTTCATTTATTATTTGGATAAAAAGTGATGAGCCACCAATGATTTGCGGACCGACAAGAACCAATAAAATTGTTTATCATTTGGCGATATAATTTGCATCTGCAACAAATTTTTGATTACTTCATTATCTATTGTTCTAAATTCATTTTTTTCGTGGTCCAATAAGGATTGTTTGAACGTTAAAAGCAGCTTTGATTTGTTGTTTGTCAGACATACAGTATGTGTATGTTATGGTATTCACGGAAATAAACAAAGATGTATTATGTTTCGATCCCATAATTGACAATTTAACTTGGAGATAGGGCAAACAACAAGTGTTTTATCATGCTTGCGCCCAAGAGCCTAATATTTCTAACTACGATACTAAGCTATAGCAATAAAAGTATATATTGTCAGAGCGAATGAGAAGCAAATGTGTCAGGCCTACTAACTACTGGTAAGGATGGTTGCACAGTGTGAAATTGCAGCTGTCAATTTAGTTTCAAGTCATTGAACACTATGATATCTAATAGTGGTTGATACGCCTGACGGATATTTATGTATTATTTAACGCGTAGTGTGAATACGGCAAATGAATATATTATAATAATCATAGAATAATTAACTTTATATTTACTTACTACATATATTATTTAAATGAAATGAATCGACAAATCTATTTCATTTTATTTATATCTTTTACTACGTGTATTTTTATATATTCTTGTGTCCTT